CATTTTTTATGGTCTTAATAATTTAGTTTTACTAGAAAGAAACTCCACACTGAGTATCTGCTGTGAATCTCCTGTTATGGGAAGCTACATTAATGTAGCAGTACACCAGTGCAGTGTTGTAGTGTTGTCAGTAAACAAATACATCAAGAATCATTTTTTTCCATTTGGCTTTGATTTAAGCCAAATGTTGAAACACATTTATATGTCTCAGAGCACTGTAAACTCAGCACCATTAAATAAAGAAAAAAAGCCCAAAAAGGTACTCAAGCCCTTGAACAAAACTTCTAATGAATGAATTATACACACTTAAATACTATTTTAGTGTATTTTAGTATTTTCATGGCAACTACATTATGTGTCTGTCAGCATGAAACTGATGTTTGTATATTAACTTACATAAATATTTAAATACACACTAAATGTTTATGAACACAGTTTGTAAGTATATGCATGCTAAAACACTATAGATAGCAAAGGCATAGTTACGGAAGCTGTGAGAGCCACGTGAGAAAAAAATAAATACTGGTGATCAAAAAAGTCCAGTCTAAATTGTTTTCTCTCCTGTGTTTGCCAGGTGAAATAAGTACATATATTATGTGTTAGCAAGTTCTGTACATTGTACAATTCAGGTTAGACTTAGAACACTGATCCACAGTATTTTTTTATCACATGCCTTCTGGGCTTTCGTACGTAGTTCTTAGGCACCGATAAAATATTTTTTACTATTTCGTTTCTCTTTAACTCTGACCCTCCACACAAAGTATCAAGCTACATATGACTTTTCTGTATCAGTTGTTGCAACTAAAAGATACAACATTAAAAAACAATGGCATTATGATGGTGTAAATCAATGAGCTGTGTGGTAGTAAATACAATCATTGAATTTCAGAAGGTAGCTTAAAGACAATCATAATATTAGCAGCGCTGACTGGAGTTTCAGTGGTGAAAGGTTTGTATTAAAAGACTAAAAATTCAAGTTCAAAGGTCAATGGATGTCGAGTCACCAGTTACCCCAGAGAGTGCTGCTTCTTCAGGTTTTCTGTGCGCCTCACTCTCTCCTCTGGGGTTTTTCTGTACCAGCTCCTGAGAAGAAACTGCCACTGTCATACAGTGATGACTTTAAAGACATCGGCAAAAGCTAAAATCCATACATTTATGTACCCTGTTGCCTTTAGCGAGAGGTGATTAAATTTATGTTTACAGTTTTATGCATGGCATGTATTGCATGTGATTGCAATGCATTGTTAATGAGGAAAGGAGCAACCCAACAAGCTACTCAACATTTTCTTATTAGTGGAGTAAGGAATGTCAAATAAATTACACATGGCAGTTTATGTGATCTATGAGAGCAAGATGAGGCATGCAATTACAAGATAAAGGGACAAAAGTTAAGCATGGTGAAACAAGTAGAAGTATAAAGTTACCCCTGGCGGTTCAACTGGCCTGGAACAGGAGAATTTTGGCCTTGGCTTGGCTTCAGGACTCTGGGAAAGGAAAGAAATACTGTATGTAGAGAGCTGATTTTCTGGAGACAATAAATGCAGGAAAATTGAGGATAGAGCATGAAACCAGACTGTGTTTGTATAGCGCCTTCTAGTCTTCCGACCACCCAAAGCACTTACACTACATATCACATTCACCCCATTCACACACATTCAAACACTGATGGCAGTGGCTGCCATGCAAGGTGCCAACTCTCACAGGGTTCCCACTCTTTTCTAGAGATCATTTTCCAGGCCTTTTCCAGGACATTTTCAGTGTTGATCTAACTGGTATGACAGACAGGGTTCACGTCATACACATATGTATTTGTCTCTGCAGAAGTGCAACGGTTTAAAACAAGTTAAGAAGAAAATGTTAATCTATAAACCTAATAAAAACTACCACAGCTACCAGCCAGCAGTGACTAACATTTGCCTTCAGATGATAATGCAACTTATTACTTATTACTATAGAGTTTCGGTGCACAAGATTTTCCAGGACATTTTACTTTTTTCTCTCATTTTCCAGGTGTTTTCCATGGCTGTA